TTACCTAAATATTTTTATTTTTGCTTCTAAGGGGTAGGACCGCACATTCTTGATTCAATAGTCCACCAAACGTGATGAGTGGTCGTTCCACTTGTGATGTAGCTAAAGGTGATAATTTGGCTGAATTAATCAAACAGGCAAATCAATTATATGGGACGAAGCCTCACTTATTCACAAGCATTGTTTCGAACCGTTCATAAGACACTTGTCACGCCCCAAAACTTAAATCCGAGGACGTGGCAGATGCCGTACACTTGTGAAAGAGTCTCACAAATGCACAAGGTTCGAAACTTATCCAATTCACATCTGACAATCCAATAACTTAAATCAGATATTTCAAAATAATTCTATGTCCAACATGACTTATGCTCAAAATCTCAAGGTTAAATCTCTTGTAAACTAACAATCCATTCAATAAATGATAAAATTTTAATATTTGCTCTGATATCAAAAGTCTCCAAATAAAATGTAGCTTACAAGATCATGATCTATATCTAAAATCTATATCAAATTTACAAGATGGTTAACCTTCTAACTTGTCACTCCCCTTGTTTTTCCCCGTCCTTGACTTCGCTTTCTGAAATGGTGGATAAGGAAAAACTATGAGATAACTCAGTAAGTAAAATATGGATAGCCCTTAATTAAATTTATAGCATGTCAACAAGTGTAATCAGAAAAACAGATACAGTACAGGAATGAAATAGACGTCTCCTCTATAGGTCATGGCCAGTGTTATAAACCTCCCACTGACAAGCACACGATTTACTAGTGTATAATCCCACTAGCAAGATAACAGAAACGACCCGGTTTTATCAGTAACATGTCAACATGTGCTAGCGTTTATAAACCTCCCACTAGCGGGCACACGAATAACATGACCATATCGGAGACAAAACAAGCAAAAGTTAACAGAAAATCCATGATTCACAATCACTCTCAAATTTCAGAAATAAACCGGAAATTTCCATGTAGGCATGGATTTAACTGAAAAATCAGAATTTACAAAATTCTCAATTCATCAGGGCAGTTAAGTAAATTCCAAGTAAGCATGCTCAAATCAATAAAAAGAATAATAATCTTATTTCAAATCAATCAAAAGAATAATAATCTTATTTCAAATCAATCATGCTCATTTCTGTATAAAACGAGTTTAGTCCGGCCACCACTTCAAAAACAAGTTAAAATATACTTTTAAAATCGAAGGACGTTACCATAATTTACTTACCTCAAATCGCATAACATAGAAATTCACTCGCATAAACCAAGGACTCAATCCCAGTGCTCTAAGCCATAACAGCACCTAATATTTCAAATAAATACATTCAAACTTTGCTATAATTTTTAGCACAACCTTGCAAATTTACTAACCAATGAGCTTCACACGAAATTCAACCATATGACCAAACATCTCAATTTTATTCTCAATATAACTACACATTTAAACCCTCCTATTGTTGGCCATTAGTGCGTGAACAGTACTCATGAACAGTGATCACGCAGTGAACAGTGATTGCAACTTTCAAAAATTCGCAAAACCATAACTAATCTCACGGGATTTCTCTCCAAAAATCACAGCAGCCAACTCAAGCAATTTACACATTAATTAAGCTTAATTATGCTCTAATTACTACCGAAATTCATCCCCACCTTTCAACAAAATTTTGGACACCACAGGGACAGCAAACTAACGGACAAAATTCAGCAACTAACGGTAATTTGGACTTGAATAGAGCTGTCACATACCAGGAAATCCAGCAAGCAAACCGAAGCTGCAGATTGGGGAAGTTGCCTGCGGGAAGTGCAGGAGAAAATCAAGAAATCTACCGGAAATTGGGAGAGACCAAGAGGAATTAGAGTAAACCCAAGCAAATTCAAGGAAGAACAAAGGAATTAGTGGCTGTTTCTTACCCAAAAATCAGAGAAATTCGCACCCACAAACAAGAGCAGCCGACGGAAGGACAGAGCAGAGCAGATCCAAAAATTCTGTAGAGGGGGAAAGATTTCTGGGTTCTATATGTGTTCTAGAACAAGAAAGGAAGGGAAAAATACCAAGCTTTGTCACCAATTTTCTCAAAGAAATGAGTCAGTGGCTGGAGGGGCTTGGGGGGCTGTCGGGGATGAAGAACAAGAGCAGAATCGGGCTGAAGAAGAAAGAGGAAAAGGAGAAAAAAATAGCTGATCCTTATCCAAAATCTTTCCTCTTTTAAGTCCCTCAAGTTTCAAAATTTTGGCTATTAGGCCACAAACAATATTTTTCTCAAAATAAGTCCCTAACTTAAATGATAAAATTCCCGAAAATTTGGGATATTACAACAGTACAGGATATCTTGGAAGGCACAATTTCTGATGCCAATTAAATACCACTGGGGAGTAAGACAATCGTTCTAGGTGGTGATTTTCACCAATGCTTGCCTGTAATACCTAGAGCAAATCATGAAGAAACAATGTTGACCTCTATAGGGAGATTATTCCTCTAGAAATATTGTGAGTTGATTGAATTGAAAACAACGATGAGGTTGTTACCAAAGTGTTCTACTAAAGAAAAGAAGAAGGCAAAGGAATTTGCAAGATGGGTGTAAAGCGTCAGTGACGAACTGTTCCATCCGTTTGTGGGAATGATGATGGAGATGCAGTTTGGACAAGGATACTAGATGATTTACTCATACCAAGCGGACTAGATGATGTTTCACAACTTATTTTTGCAATTTATCCTTCTTTTGGTACCGAGTAAGAATTTTCAAAAGCTTTCTAATTTCTACAATTTATTTTTGTTGATTTAGTTCTTCTTTCTCAATTACTACAATGGTTTTTCTTTTAGTAATCTTAAAAAAAAATAAAAATAAATTATTTCATGCACAGGTATAAAAAACATTCTTAATTGAAGGAAAAAGTGATCGTCACACAAAAAAATGTACATGTAAATCATAAATGATGTTAGAACATATCAAGGTAATGAATTTAACTTCCTTAGTCATGGTTATGTAGAGAGAATGCCCAATGATTATTCTTCCAAAGAATTGCAATGCCTGTCCATGCTAATTATGTAGAGAGATTGCTCGATGATGATCAAGATTGCCATTTGTTTTTAAGAGGAGGCAGTACTCAATACGTGTAGGTTTTGCCATGACCATCAATAAAAGTTAAGGACAAACTCTCAAACAAGTTGAAATATCTCTATCTAAACCTATGTTCTCTCACAAATAGCTTTACGTTGCAATATCAAAAGTGCAAAATAAATCCAACTTAAAGATATTAATTGACAATAGTGGTTTGCCAAAAAGTTGAGGACCAAACTATACCAAGAACACTGTTTACAAAGAGGTGTTCAAATATTTGGGATATGGAAATTAAATAGGTTAGTAAGTTTAATTTAAGTACTATTATTATTAGAAACAGTTATTAAATTTATATTAAATAATTTTATTACGTTATTGACCAGTTAATTAATATAGTTATATTATGAAATGTTAATAGATTCATATTTTTTTTTTTTAGATTTTATTGGATCATCATCTCATTTATTGCATTGTTAAAGAATGAAGTCAACAATACAAGTGGTAGTCAAAATCTCTTGTTGGGTATTGTGAAATATGTTCACTTCCATTGCTGCAGCTCTACATAAAAAATTGGGGACAATATTAGATCATATATCCATACTTTGCAAGGTTTTCCAACATAGGAATTGTGAGACATGAAGTAGATACAATTTGTTCTGGCAGTTAATGAACAGTTTGCTCAATTCCATCTCCAACTGCATCGACGAAAGAAAAGAGATTGACACATGATCCATAGCCACTTTGGTACCATGTATCTGATATACACTATCATGCAAAGTTTATTATGCGGAAATTTTATTTGATGAAGAATTTAATATTTCGTAATATAGGCTTATAGCTACATCATGAATAACTACAAAAAAAAATTAGTCATCTATCAGCGCTAAATGTGTTGGAAAATAAATAAAAAATGCTGAAAATACATTATTTTCTAGTTCTTGACGTTGGAAGTTGACGCTGTAAAAATATTGCTTAAAAAATAGTTAATTTCCAATGCCATGAGGTGCGTTGGAAAATAATTTACAATATTTTACTGTATAGTGCGCTGGAAAATACATATAAATGGCAGGGCGATAACGTCTTATTATTTGCCATTAACTTCTTTTTTCCAGCGGATTGCACTGAAATATTGTCTTTGTTGTAACCCTCATAAGCTAGAAAACTTCCAGTGCTCTATGGTGGCAAAAAAAAAAAAGACTTATTTTCCAACGTTGTCCGCTAGAAAATGAGCTTGAGTGTATATATGCATGATCAACTCACTTTCCAATGTAATACACTAGAAATTCATGTTTAAAAAAAAATTCAATTGACTCTTAGTTTCCGGCGGAAACAAAGAGTCAATTAACCAAAAAAAATATAATTTTCTTTTTTTTAAATGTAATAATTTTCAATTAAAATAAATTCTAATTATAATATATATACACACACCACATAAAAATATCTTTAAAATAATATCATTTGAATAAATAAAAGAACTCCACATATAAAATTAATTAAATCAACTTAAATTAATAAATATCACACACATAAACACAATAATATTTGACAAATTTTACTCCATAAATTCAATCATATACAAAACCTTACATAATGCATGTATTTTTTTAATTTTTTTCTAAATAAATTAATTAAATACATAAATATACTTTAATGCCATGTAATTCATAAAATTAGAAAAGATATATACAAAATTAAATTAATTATATACATGAGAGTTTATAAAAATAGAACAAATGAAAATTACACTTCTAATAAATTGAAATGAATAATTCTAATTTTAACATTTAAAAAAAATAGTTGCTAGGAAAAATATAAATGAATTAACATAATATCCAAATGAATATTAGAAAACAATAATAAATGTAACTTAATAATACCTTTAATTGGAATGAAACATATAATTATATCGGTAAAATGATTTGCAGTCGGTCCTGCTAATTTTTAGGCGAAATGACTTATTTAAACGACACTGTTTCAAGTTAAGCCCTCGCCCCAAATTTGTTTTTCTCGTCTTCAACTTTCCCCTCTTTACAAAAATTCACAAACCCTTAATATGAGCAGGAGGTATTTCCTTGACACAAGCAAAAAGTATACAATTGACTGGAAACAAAAATTCTAGAAACAAAAATCCCAGAAAGAGTCTTCTTTTCTTTCTTTCTCTTATTAAAAACCCAGAAACAAATACTAATCTTTTCAAATACCCAATTCGAAATTCAAATAAACTCAAATACCCAGATGAGAAAAGGCAAAAATCGAAAGGCCCAAAGAAATACCTCTGCTCATAGGATTATCTTTTATCGTCAAAAGATCCAACAAAAAGTGCCAGCCAAGAAAGCTTACTTTTGACGAGGTGAACCTATTCCACAATATTTTGTTTTTTGGTCGTTCTTCCTCTATGATTCCAAGCGGAGATTTGAATGGGAAACTGAAAAAGAGTGGAATTGAGTGAAGGAAATCAAAGATAAAATAGGGGTTCTGAACGAAGAGAAAAAGAGGAAAATTGAAGAAAAAAAGATGAGGTGGTTATTGATGAAGCAGCAACAGCAGCAGCTAAAACTGATGAGTGGAAGAAAGCATGGAGGCTCACGGAAAAAACCAGAGCAATCTCCACTTAATGAGTTTCCATCATGGGGTTGGGTAGTGATGTGTCTATTATTTTACATTAAAGTTATTTTTTTTAATTGAATTTGTAGAGACTTGCTGCCCTGAATCTTATCTTTGAATTTCTTTCTTTTCTTTTCAATTATAAATGAACAAGCATAAGAAAATTAAGGATTGATGTTTAGGATCCGCTTTCGAATGCAGAGAAACAGGGGCAAATCAAAGAAGAAAAGGGGATGAGGTTATTGGTGTGAGTATGAAGAATAGAAAGAAGGAATTCACATTAAGGGTTTTGTGAAAATCTGGAAAGTGGAAACAGGGAAAAGTTGAAGACGAGCAACATTGGGATTTTATGCTTTTAGCTTGAAACGACGCCGTTTAATAAATCATTCCGGCAAAAAATTAGGAGGACCGGCTGAGATATAGTTTCCCGTAATTATATACCTAAAACAAAAGAAGAATGAATTAGTATATTTCTTAAGTGAATATTAGTATAAATTAAAAATTTTGAGGAGAGGAGAAAGAGGAAATGAAATGAAAATAAGGGAAAATTAGAAAATAATTATAAATGTAAATTAACAATACCTTTAGTTGAAATGAAGCAACATATAATTATATACCTAAAAAAAAAAAAAAGAATGAATTAGTACACTTGTTAAGTGAAAATTATCAAATAGTGATGAATTTGAGAAGAGGAGGATGAGGAAATGGAATGAGCATGAGAAGGAGTCCAGAAGAAAAGGAAGAGGAAATAGAGAGAGAACATGAAAAAGAAAGTGGAATAAAAGGAGAAGAAGGAAATGGAGAGAAACAGGAAGTAGAAGAAGTGATAAAGGAGAAAATGAAGGTGTAGATAGAAAGGAAGTATATTTATACAAACATTGAATTATTTTTTAGTGCATTTGCGCTTGAAAATAATCAAAGTTTTGAAAATTAGAAGTGAAAAGGTGGCATTTCGAAAATTTTCAATTGTTGGATGGTGGAGTATACTTATTTTCTAGTGTAATGCGCTAGAAAATCATCTGAATTTTGAAAATAACAAAAGAGAATGCGGCATTTCAAAAATTTTCAATGTGGAATGGCACAAAATGCTTATTTCCAGTACAATGCATTGGAAAATAATTTGAAGTTTGCCTACAATAAGTGGCATTCAGAAGTGGGGAGGAAATGGCGACTAATGCTTATTTTCCAGTGCAATGCATTGGAAAATAATTTGAAGTTTGTACAATAAGTGGCATTCAGAAGTGGGGAGGAAATGGCGACTAATGCTTATTTTCCAGTGCATTGCACTAGAAAATACTTCAAATTCTAGAAATTTAAAGAGAAAACTTAACACCTTTATTTTTTTGGAGAATGGCACAAATAAGTTCCTGGAGGGAAGGGCAGCATTTTGTAAATTTCTAGTAAAATCACAATTTACTTATATTGCAATCATATATCACAGCAAGTTTTTTCTAACATGATATACTACAAAGTATGGCTGCTCATGAATTGTATTTAAATAATGAGTTTAGAGACAATAAATCCACACCTAAAACAAAATATCCCTAGTTGTTTTCAAATAAAACGCTAAGGGAAGGTTAGAGGTTTATATAGATAAATATTATTTTTTACGGCTTAACGTTGGAAAATAATATAGGCGAGATTTTAAAAATTTTAAGAGGAAAAAATGGCGCTTGAATATTGGATTTCAAACTTTAGGTAAAATTATTTTCCAATGTTTAGCACTAGAAAATAATATAGGCAAGATTTTGAATTTTTAAAAGAAAAGATACTTGAATATTTAGTTCCTAAACTTCTTAATAAACTTATTTTTCAACACCAAATACTAGAAAATAACCTGAACCAATTGAACAAGAGTATTTTCCAACGCTAAACGCTAGAAAATGACCTAAACCAATTAGACATGAGTATTTTCCAACGCCAAGCACTAGAAAATAACATGTACAACCTTAGCATGATTATTTTTTAGTGCTTAGCACTAGAAAATAACCTACACCCCATTTCTACAGTTTAACTTTAACAGTTCCAAACATTTTCCAACATTTTGCACTAAAAAAAA